TTCGATTGGTTAATTTTGATACATGATGTAACTCTTCATCTCCAATTGTTTTATTGAAAGCAAGTCACCTTTTAACACAATGGTGAAAAGATGTTGAGCTCTAATTGATCTGGTTTCTGAAATAACTGCCAGGGCTAAACTCGTAACCAGACCCAGATTTCTTTTAGATAATCAAGGGTAAAACTTGACCTCGAATCCTGAAATCTGAATAAATAACAGAAAAAGGACAGTACCTGGCCATGGTAAAATATGCACCCAAGGAACTTTTGGCACCATGAAATACACCAGTTTCTCTGACCAAACAGTTTTCACTTGCCGCCAACAGCACCGATAAACGACCAGTACACGCAATCGGCCATAATATATACATAACTAAGCTCATAATTTTGGACAAAGCAGGGGTATTTTCTCACTCCAATGCAATCAATAACGTCCATTGAACAGCATATTTGGAGAGATACAAGCTTAACGGAGTTTCTGAATTGATCGAAAACCCGAAACCCTCTACACAAGCAGTTTGAATATCTGAAGAAAGCAATTAGGTGATATTCGGATGAAGTAAAAAAAGAAGAGACGACCATTATCAAAGGGGAGAAAAGAAGAAGTCGCCATATATATACTCAGCAAGGGCAAATTTCTGCGTACCATATTTCCATATACTTCTATGAAAAAACCATTCCCAGAATTAATTTTGGTCAAAAGTAAAAAAGAACATATATACAAGGATTTTTCCATTAAAGCCTTGTACAAAAAGGCATCTACCACTAAATAATAATTGAATATTGTAAGAGGATTAACTGTATGAAGAGGGCAATTCGTGTCGGTCTTTACAAAGGCTTCCAAAAATATGGGAAAGCACTTACTAGTTGAACTCCACGCTCTCCAAATCTACATGAAGTGTAGCGAATCCAGATCCTCCGCTGAAATAAACAAAAGGGGGGCTCCATTATCGCAGAAATATCTCCCCATGGCCATCCGCAGTGAAATAGAATAGCTTAGCTCCAACACTAAAACGCCATGTGGGGATGATGAACTCAAAAGCAACGTCCAACAGCCAGATGTGATATATTATTTACTATGACGATGAATCAATAGTATCCTGCAATTTTTCACAAGAATTTGGATTATTTATATGTACGTGTGTATATCAGCTCCTGATCAAAATCTTAGCAAAAACCTAAATACACAATAACAACCAATTATCAAAGAAAAAGTCTCATCTACAAGGGGGAATCACACATGAATATAGAGCAGAAGCAGGCATAAACTTTATATGTTTGAAGGATGTTACACTTGAATGAAACTCTGAAAGATAATAAATAATGTTTAACAATTTATAACTCCTGCAGACACAACCTCGTAAGTGATTCCAAAGTTTCATTTCCATATAAGCGATATATAAGTATATATTTCACGCCATCTCCCCCCACAAATATGGTTGACCTAAAAATACCAAACTTACCAGTTGACGTTTATGATCTTTCAACGAATTCATGATCTGGACTGAGATTCACCAATTGATTTAGAAATAAGTAAAGAAATTCTAGGGCTTGTAACAAAGCTTTTTCTCATTAAAACTAAATCGGTATTTACATCTGAACCAAGGCAGACTTTATATATTTATGTACTTTCCTAAATGACATAATTAAGAAGTACACAACATTCTAAACTAACACAACTATAGTTGAACAGACACCACATCAGTATGAATTATGCTGATGTGGCATCAGGCTATCTGTCCTCAATCTCATACTATAGGACTCTCTCTATCATGAGATTGTTTCTAAGATATATAATAACTGTGGAGAATGTAGTACTTGTCATAATGTATTCAAGTTGTTCAGAGGAAAAACGTGATGAACTCTTAGATCTTGACATTGAACTCTTTTGCAAATGAAATGCACATCAATCGTGTTTAGTATGACTATGGAACACTGGATTATGAGCCAGCGAGATGGAAGCTAGATAGCTAGGTTTCAAATGTTGAGTATTGTCAGTTAAAAAAAAATCTGGACAATATTTAACATTAATTGTAACCATTATATATACCAATCTATCAATAATTCATAACTCATGAGTAAAGTTCAACGAAGAATTTTGACTTTAACCATACAAAAAGGACTATGTTTGAAATTTTACCAAGCTATTAAACTCCTAACTACAATTTTTTAGCAACTAAACATGATATGCGCTCCTGGACTTTAGTATAAAATGCATATGATAACAACCAACTTAAACTTATTTTGAGGACAGAGGTACATACATTCTTTCGTTCTTCACCAAAATGAAACAATGACCAGCAAAAGAAAATCAATAAAAATATCACGAAATGATTAGTATAGTTCAATTAGAAATGTCCTTACCATATCTTCAATAGTGTGGGAATCAATTATTTAACAGATATGCTATTGATTCCAAATCCACCAATTTTTTCTAGTTGAATTGCTTGAGGACCCTATGAAGAGTAAAGCACGAATATTTTTTATGTTCTAACAATAATGGATTTTGAAAGATATAGATAATCATCAACATCGATCACATTAACCACACAACAAACAAGCAAATAGAGCAAAAGATCAGATGGAGATAGTCTCTCTTTCCTAGGTATGTGGAGCTTTCCATTTTTGTTTACTTGGTGGGATTGCTGAAAAACGTCCCCAAACTTTCACTTCTACTTCTCACATCAAAAAGTACTGATGGACCACCGCAGCAACATTATGGTCCGATCCCAGACAATAAAGTGGTCACCACGGACTATGTATGTGGTGGTTGTTAATCCCAGCGCATGCATGCAGTACTACAAAGTTCCAACCCCCAAGCTTGGACCTTGATGCCAGTATCATGTGATTGAGATGGTAAGCCATTTAGTACATGAGGAACACAACAAACTCAATACGAAGCGAAGCCAAAGCAACTTTTTTCTCTTTTATTTGTACTTTGGAAAGATAAGGCTGAAGCCATCTTTAATTGGCTTGCCAATCACATGAATTAAAAGGGTATTGTTCCTCCTAGCTAGACTTGTCAAAAAAATGCTCATGTTGCTCAGTTTAGTGAATCTGGACCGCAAAATTTAACCAAAAAAAAAAAGCACGAGCAAGATCTGTATGTACATTCTTCTAACATAAGGACCAACATCTAAAGCCTAACGGTACCTCACATTCACATGAAAGATAGTTATATCCCGTACCAATTTGACTTATAATTTCCATGCGTATTTGCTGGAATAATTTGTTGACTTATGCCTTCATAACATCGAAGAAAGGTACTGAGAATGGGATGTGGCTACTGTTTGATATGTAGAACCTATATAGAATAATATTTTGTTCGTGTGGCCACACACAAGTCTACATGCTAGATACATGAAAAACCAAATACAATGAATTAGATGTTAAAAATCAATTGCATTGCATGCATATCAACTTACAGGAATGTCGATGGATAAAAGGAAGAAGGACCACAAAAGTCTAGATTCTATCGATACATCAAAAAGTAATAGCAAAAAAAATTGCTAAACAAATGTCATGAGAAATTACAACAAACAGTCACACAAATTAACTAACTAAATGATTACTATTTGATAATCGCAACCAGTAACCATACAAGAAATAATACAATTTTGGGCATGAATCAATGTTAAGCCACAAAAAATGACTTCAATTGTATAGCAACTTCAAACTCAAAGTGAAATTCATGCTATATGGAATACATGACATGTAATTCTAAAATTAATATAAGATCAATCCATGCTTGAAAACTTACTGGTCTATCAGTTGTTGTTTGCTAACAGCGGATTCCATTTTGAAAAAGAAAAAAAACCAGTTTGTGGACATATATATGAAATAAATTTCACTGCAAGATAAAAGCACATATTGAAATTATTCATGTTAGTGCAGTATGTATAAAGATCCAGTATTTAATTGGGTTAAAATACTTACCAGGCAGCGTCTAATTAGAGACATAAGTCTAAAAATAAAATCCAAATAAATATATGTATGCCATATAGATCATATAGATGAAAATATATACATAAATTCGGTGCAAAATGAACCACCAGATCGATTTTGATAATTCGGAAAGCAAATTCATACCTGTTAAGTTTTCATCTGATGAAACTTGAAAGATATAGCTCCATACACAAGCCCAAAAAAAGGAAGAAAAAACTTACAACTTGACAATGGGTGGACCGTTATATCAATCCATAAGCCTTACCTGCAAAATCAACCAGACAAACAAGAGACAGATAACAAAACCATATTCATTTTATCTTCGATCATCATATTAAATCACAATAGAATTATAAGAACTATATGCATTCACTGATGATAATTTCAAAGATAATGGGTGTGAAATTATCTAACTAGCTGGTTTAAAATAAAATTTTGTAATCAATAGTACGAACAAACAAGCAAATCAACCCTACTCAGGCTGTGCTGAATAGGGTTCAACAGAAATCCATTAATTAAACCAAATAACAAAAAAGGCCCAAAAAAGAACCAGTTTTCAAGTTAGAATCACATGCGTATGGATTTAAAAAGGGATCAAAATTACCAATTTTTGGACTAGATCAGGGTTTCAAGCTGACGAGTGAGGAAGGGAGGGTAAGAAAGGGAGGACCATTCTAACACCAGAGAGCGTGAATGATGGTCCCGTAATAATGTTATGCTTGATAACCTGGTTTTTGCCGCTAATTCCGCACAGTAAACAGATATATCCACATTCTTATATATAAAACACTATCAAAAGTCACGCTCTCATTTCACCAGTTTCTGATAAGATAACATAAAATAATTGATATAATACAAATAATCACTTACCGATTTCAAAAGAGTAACAGGAGCATGCTCTCTTAGCTACGCTAGGCTTAGGGATTCAGTTTACTTTGAAGTCTGAATTCCCTTTTGAGCAGTTAATTAAGCACCATAAATTAAAGAGTTTGAGAGAGAGAGAGAGAAGAGAGGGGAACTGGTGAAACAAATTAAAGAGAAAGACCAGAAGAAGGATGGGGATGAGAAGGAAATTAAAAATGAACAACTTAATATTAATCCGGCAGTGGAAATGGGGAAGCTGACAGAAAGAGACATGAGCACGCAAAAGCAATGGCATACGCTTTATGGCAAGTGCCTCTGTGTGCTCACTCTCTTCTGTCAATTTCTACCCTAAGTCCCAACCAAATTAACACTCACCACAATAATATAACTACCCAATCGCCAATTTCTTTTGATTAATAAGAAGAAAAAGTTTGTGAAGAAAGCAGAACTCCGATTCGTATTGTTCATAGAGAATCTCTGATCAATGATAGAGCAAGATCCATTTTGCATTATATCTAAGGGATTCCTTGGTTCGGCAAAGCAAGAAAGTAATAAAAAGACTGATAGAAAAGAGTCGGATCTGAGAACCCAGGAAGAAACAAAAACAAAAACCCATATAAGGAAAGATACCAAAATGTCAGAAAAATCTACGAGTAATACTATTTTGGTGTAAAATAAATTTAGGGTTTCGCTCAATGGCGAAAAATAAAGACAAAACGAAGAAAAAATGGGAACAACCTCCACAAACCCCAATACCAAAATAAGCTGTACTGCTGCTATCTACGACCCTCTCTCTCTCCCTCTCTCTCTCTCCGTCTCTGTGTTACTGTCTGTCTCTCTCTCTTCATTGACTGCTCTTATTTATGATCTTACCTCCTCTCTGCCTTTCTCTTTTTCTCTCTCTATCAAGCAGAACGGGACGTACAGGTGTCCGTAACACGTAGCCAGAGAAGTGACCTGAGTGAATCCACAGTGCGGGAACGGCGAAACCCAGAACGGTCAAATAAGGGAAGTCCTCATGATTTGATGTTTTAAAGGTTTGTGGTGGGAGGAGAGGAAGACAAAGGGATACGAGTTGACTGGATTTTTGGGAAGCCAAGTCTATTTAGACAAATAAAGCTTTTTTTGAGAAAAAAGGAAAACCAAGTTTGAGACTAACCTAAAGATTAACAAAGAGACAGAGACGACTCTTGGTTGGTATTTTGTGTGTTGAGATGAATAATTGGTTGGCTGAGATTATTTCAGGGTACGTGTAACGTACGTGTTCATTACAACACATGGGTGAGGTGAGAGTTTTCTGACTGTGCCTGTCACATCGTTATATAATATATTATAATACTATCATGTGATATTATTATCACGTATTATAGTATAATTGATATAATTGATATTTTATTTTAAAAACTTAATTGGAATCTATCGAGTGTTGTCTATTCATATGCATAAGTAAATATGAATTGGTAACACTTATGACAATTATATGCTATATTGAAAAGAGTAATGCCATTGATACAGATTAATGTCACTGTATGTAAGTCTCCCTCTTTTTTACACTTTTACGAAACGACAGTAGTAAGGGTGATGAAATACAGCAAACACCAAACACAAAAGCCGAAAATAAAATACAGCAAGAAGACATGAATAAAACCAGACCTAGCTAGCGAAAACAATACAAGAAAAGCCGAAATGACTATATAAGAAACCCCAATCAGTCTCTTTTGCAAAAATTCGACATAAAATTAGGAGCTGATCCCACCAAGAAAACCTTGATCATATAGCACCATGGTTTGACAATGCATCCGCTGCAATTAAGCAGTGTAATGTGTTTGAAACTTTAGCACCTATCACTATTTGATATTGGTGTTAAAAAAACCACCATGGTGTTCCACATATTGGTACAAGTTCTTAATAAAAAGCTTTGATAAGGCAGTATAATTACGTGACTGCTACAAAAACATAGGATTTCTGTATATTGGTTTAACTAATTTCACCCTGGTTTCACCTCAGAGCTATCCGCTATCCTAATGAGGCAATTTTACTTAAGTTGGTTTCAACACACTTAGGGTTCATTTGAAATTGTTTTATGAAAATATTTTTAAAATAAATCTTTAATAAAAATGTAAGTAAATTTTGCTTTTCAGAAATATTTTCCCTAAAATTATTTTTAGGGAACTTTACGAAAAGCACCCGGTACTGTTCACTTTAATGAAAAACCACATTTTTACACTAAAAAATCAATCCTGGTACTATTTACTTTACCCTTTATTTTGTCCTTATCATCAAAACCCAAAGTTTTCAAATCTTTTTCATTAGTTTTCCTTTATTTTTAATCATTTTAATTCATTTTTTAAAGAAGCCCTTAATTGAAATGATTTGTAGCCATTGATTGATATGACTTGGGGTTTGAGTATGAAACCAGCCGTATTCCCTGCCGTCAGATTGCAATGATAGTAGGGTGAGGTACTCTGGACGGGTATCTTCTTGGAAGTTGGGGTGAGTGGCTGATAGGACTGCGCCATCGAGGGAGACAAGCTACCTACCTTTGGTGCTTTTCCCTTCTTTGCCAACCGCCCACGTCCGCCATTCACTGTAGCCCTTCCCGAGGGCAATATTGTCAAACAATTGCATAAAACCCTACCCTTCCTCCTCCTTTGCTTTCTGGCTTCTGCGGTTTGCCGACACATGCCTGTATGATTCTTAATCGTCAATGCATGCGAGATTCACATTTATCAAGAATACAACCAAATGATCAATCAAGCACTAACGACTGTCTATCATTTTTAAACAGAGATTATACTTTTAGGGTGCGTTTGTTGCACCGGACTATCTCAGACTGGACTAGCTTCAGGGACTAAGCTGAACTAACTTAATGAAGCGTTTGATACAGTATCGAACTAAGAAGCAGGATAATGAAAATAGTAATGTCATCAATTTGGTGTTTGCTTGGATTGAGACTAAATTACTGTTATATTTTAATTTCTTTTTATTTAAAGATATTATCAAAATTAATAATATTAGATGAGAGTATGAATCAATAAAAAATACAAAAACCAAATTTTGCCAACAAAAGAAACATACATGATTCAAGAGTAGTATTGCTCCAAACATCAATATAACAAATGTGTTTTCCTAACAATTGAGAGGGTTTAGAATGCTTTTCTTAATTATTCACCTTTGGTTTGATTGCATTCAATCCCAAGACCATAATGATGTGTGAGGCGCAATAACAAGTGGATTGCCGAGCCTTGATCATTGCTACATTTGGATTCGAGCTCGTAAATTGCTTGCTCCAACTAGTATGAAGAAAACCAATAACAATATGCAAAAGGAAGAGATCATGAATATACCTTGAGCAAAGTACACAACGTTTGGAGCAAAGGATTGTCAAAAGTGAAGCAACAAATTTTAGCTGAGGGAATGTAAATTTAAATGTTGTGATACAGACAAAATTTTGCTATTCTAACTAATTTACTGACTAGACTAAAACACAAGCTTGTGTAGGCTACACGAATACGATAGTACTCCTGCACTGCAGATCCTCTTAATCAACTCCTTACGTGAACATACTGTTACAAACAATCAAAATCGATTGAATCAATACGACGCCTTTTGTTGCTCTAGCAAGCAAGTTGGTGCCTGCACATGTAACAACTAGCTACATCAAAACTGCCATTTATGACTCCGCTACGATGGCTGAATTTGATCTCACCGAAGCATCTGTTGGAGCTTTATTACTTATTGCTGTTCCGGAGACAACGAACTCAGTTTTTTCGGTGTTAGGCTCAAAACTTGTTGTAGTAGAGCAGACTCCACCCCAGGTGGAAGCTCAGACTGAGAAAGATTAACCATGATGTCAGATACTCAGATCAAAAGACTGCATGTTTTAAGCATCGTGTAGTAAACAGAACAGAAATTGGTTAAAAATGGATAAAATGCTGATAATCCCCCAACTGCCTCAACCTTAAAGTCTCAACACTGCTGCAGATTGTAGTTGGTGGATATGTTTCACACACCATAGCTAAGTAAATTAATCAGAGAACAAATTTGGCAACATCTCAAATACGGTGCTTTTAGAAATCAAGTGAAACTTTTATATCCATAACAAATTAATACAGATGAACATTTGTTTATTTCATAAATCTCAATAATGTTTCTATACCATAGCATCTAGAACATGATTATATGCGAAAACCTGAAAACTCAGCACATTTAAATAAATGGAATCAAGCAATGCATGAACATAACCAAATATGAAAAGCCAGAGAAACAAGGAAACCATCAAATTGTTCTTAGTATCTTACTGAATCCCAGTACCAGCCGTGCATATATCACTATCTGTACAAGTTTCAAGGCTCCCATTGACACCATTGCTTGCTATTGTTCCTCGGTCCACATAATTTATCAAGTTAATCAAGCAAAAGATAACAAGTAACCTGCAATCACAGCACAAAGTCATTCATATTGCACAACGAGATACTAAAGTGACTCAAAAGTCTTGCAAAACCTTCAAATGATACTTGACTCAACGCAGCTGAAAGCTCAAACTTATAAATATATTCTTAACTCTAGAGCGTTCATTTACATGATACATCATCTCCTCCTTTCAATTTCAAAATAGTTTAACTAATTAATCATCCAACAATTCTCACTATTTTCCCTTTCCATCCATAAACTTTCACAGAAAGAATATTTAGTGCTCACAATGGAGAAAAACTGAATTTCTGAGTTGGTTGCCGGAAAAGTAGAGAAAAACTAAGAAATCACCAAAATATCTGAAACCCACATAGAAATACCGTGTATTTCCCAGACCCAAGTAACAAAAACAATAAAAAACCCTAAAAAATATAAAAAGGCCAAAACTCTCTCTTGAATTCCATATTTTCTTACCAACCAAACAGACCCCAGAACATAACAAATAAATAAATAAACACAAAAGTGTAAGAAAATGAATCACCTCTTGGGCGTGAACCAGGAAGGAGCGGGAGTTGCGGTTGAAGCAATAACCATGGCTGTGTTTGCCGGAGGGAGTCGGTAGACTCTTTAATAGTTTTTGTTCGGCCTCTGGGTTTAGCTTTTGGGCGGGATGGTGAAGATGAAGGCCCAAGGGAGAGGGCGCGAAGTCTCGAAGGAGAAAGGAGATGGCGAAGGTGTGAAGGAGAAGAAGACGGATGGATCAGCTGCGATGGAAGACGGGACTAGGAGTCCACTAGAAATTGAGGGCTCTCGCTAAGAACGGCTAACGAGGCGTTCAGTTGGGGCGAGTCCCCTTTAGTCTCATTAACTCTTGTCCGTGTAAATAACAAACACCAGACTGGACTATCATTTAGTCTAGTCCAGTCCAAAGAAAGCTAGTGAAGGCAAACAAACATACCCCTAGATCCTGATAAATTTGGCTCCACATA